GCGGCTGTGGTTGTTGGTGTGCTGGTGTTGCTGTTGTGGTTGTTGTCTTTGGTTTGTGGTAGTAGTAGTAGTAGTTGTTGTTGTTGTTGTTGTTGTGGTTGTTGTCGTAGTGAGAGATAAGGGGGTGTGGGGGGTGAGATGCCTTTAGCGGGGCAGATGAAATCGGAATTAGGTGGTGTTTTGGGTGAGCCGGAGGGTCCGTTTTTGAGGGTGTTTTGAGGGCGTTCTGGATGCTAAAGATGCAATCGGCATCGTTCGCATCTCAGAGGGTTGGGCCTCTATGCTAAGGCCGAGCTGTCTTAAGAAAGAGAAGGGCGGGTCTAGGTTGGAAGAGACTTGAACACAAAGGGCTGCCTGCTCCCTTGCTACTTGTCTCCTTCCTCCCCACTTGTCTCTCTATGTGCTCGGCGCTGTGTTGGCTGCTGCTGCCAGTCCCCCTGGCGGTTTTCCGACGAGTCTCGTCGCTTGTCTCTTGTTGGTGAGGCGCCCATGAGGCGGCCGACGACAATAGAGTGACGAATGGGTCTACTGTTAAAAGACATCGTAAATACGTTGTCCTTGACTCTACTCTATTCCTTTCCCGGTCTATCCTCCTTTCCCGGTCTATCCTCGCTTGTCTTCCCTTGACTCTACTCTACTCTGCGCTACTCTACTCTACTCAGCATACAGGGAATTCGTATTGCTTTTTTTGGGGGGGCTGAAGTACGGTTATGGTGTAGTGCAGTTCTACTGATTGGCCCCCGACACAGACCTAGGGTTATGTCTCATGCTTTGCCGCTTTTGGGGCTCAGCGTTGAACCAGCAAAGAAGGTTTGTACCAGGATGGCAGTGCAGTGGATGATTCTGAAATTACACTCTATCATGCGTCGCGGCCGGCTTTTTTGAAGCAAATTCTGCAACAGGGCTTAGCGCCTTCCATTCACAGTCATGGGATTTGTGGCTTGTGGGTGTTTGCCCTTGCCCCTTGGGCTGCTTATTGCTGGGGGTCCTGCATTTTGGAAAACGTTGAAGGCATGATCTTGGGCATCACGATTGCCCGCAAAATGCTGAGAGAGAGATCTGCTCAATGTCCGGCAGATTCAAACGTGCAGACTGGCCTTGTCACCAACAGAAACATCCGTGGGACAGGAGCTGGGGGCTATCTGAGGTTTGTGGTGGCAGGGCAGTATTTAAATTGTGCCTTGCCAATCAGGCTGACCACTGTGGCCTTTCTTCTTCGGGATCCCAACGCCTTCCATTTCTCCCAGGGCCTCTACTACGGAGTACGGCTTTCTGCGCTGTGGGTACTTGGGCAGTCCGTGTGCCAAGACGCAAGCCAGGTGCGAGCTTTGGAACCAGGGCCTCGGCCAACGCAGAAGAATCTCTTGCGTGAAGTTCGTAGGTTGGTACAGAAGAAGGAGGAAGATGAACGTGAATACTTGAAAACGCCTCTTGGAAGCTATAAGCATTTGGGCTTGCTCCATTAGCCTCGTGCGCACGGAGCAAGCAGAAGTTGGGTTTTGGTGCCCAGGATCAGGCTTCAGAAAGACGGGTATCCTATTGAAGTTTAGGCCCGTGTCTGCTTGCTGTATTAGCCCCCGTGCACACGGAGCCAGCAGAAGTTGGGGTTTGGGCTTTGGGGTCTAGGATCAGGCTTCAGAAAGATGGGTAACCTATTGAAATTTAGGCCCATGTCTGCTTGCTCTATTAGCCCCGTGCACACGGAGCAAGCAGAGGTTGGGCTTTGGGGTACAGGGTCAGGCTTAAGAAAAGATGTGTAACAGTGTAACCTTTCAATGCAGTTTTGGGGTATTTTAGGCTTATGTTTCCTTGCTCTACTCTACGCGAGGCTCGATGAGACCGATGCTGAAGTGCAGAGGCAGGACGCCGTGTCGCCGAGAGACGCCGTCCGACTGCTGACTTGGAGAGACACTGTGCGCCCTTTACCTGAGACTCATCGACAAAGTTGCTCCTCTTACTTGAGTATGAGTATCGTTCAACTGAGTATGGTGGCTCAGCCTTTGGTTGGTTTTGACATTTTGTTCCTGCGCTTGGCATTCATCATGAACCAATCTGCTGCTGCAATGGCACCTTCTTCAAAGAAGCAGTGACTTTGGTTTGCAATCCTGGTCCCTGGTTTCTGCGTGTGGTTTTGCCTGTCGGAGCCTCCCTCCAGCACAGCTTCCGATGTGCCATATGAAGCAGACTGAATGTTCTCATCCTGTTCCTCTCCTCGCGGTCTGGCTCTTTGCCACTGCCTGCGGTTGCACAGCAGCCGCTGGTCCATGCTGGCACAGGCGGTGCTTTTGCAGGAGGCTTTGGAGCCACAGGAGGCGCTTTTGCAGGAGGCCTCCGCAAAGAGCATGGTCCTGAAGACAGCGACCTGGGCATCCCTGTGGTGGGTAAAGTGCTCACCACCTCCTGGTACATGCATATAGTATGGACCATGTCGGACATTTGAGATGGCTTCGCCATATCGGCCATCTGGTGGATCGAAGGACATTTGTGGCATATCAAAATACTCGTCGACGATACCTAGCGAGGCATTAGAAGTCACGGTCATGATGCTCTGTGCAGTTGATGCACGGGACTGCCTTGGTGGTTCTTCAGGCATGGGCTCCTCAAGTGCTGGAGGCTCTTCACATCGTAGGGGGCCGGGATGTGGCGCACTCCTGTGAATCTCCTGACGGTCTGTTCACCCTCATGCTGCGCTTCGACGGCACCTGCGGCGACGCGTCAGCGCAAGACACTGCGCATTACAGCCGCCCAGGTGTGCAGTCGAATGTGCAAAAAGAATGGCTGCTCACAGCCCAGAAACTGCGAGTGATCATAGGACTCTCACAACATGCACGGAAAGATATGGAAAGAGTTCTAGAGACCCAAGCCCATATTTGGCTTCGTGGGGTGAGTTGGGGCCGGTCTTCGGTCGGGCAGCTGCGGCGACAACGGAGCGGCAAACCATGGGATGTCTGGAGCCAATTCCCGTTTTCAAGGGCACCGGCTTCAAGGTGCAGACGGCCATCCGCATTCTGCGGGATTTGGACCTTGCCCGGGCAGGGTGTCGCGCAGCGAACGCAGGCAGAAACAGTTCTTAGAGCAAAGAACATCAGACCTCTTGAAACTCTACCACACGGTGGGTCAGCAATGTTTTGACGGTACTTAGCCGCAGCACCCCCCAAAGCACCCACAGAAAGTTTAGAAACAACATGAAGCAACCATTCGCCTAGTTTGGACCCAGGAGATCGGGTGCATTACTAGAATGTCGTGTGGTGTTTTTGTGGGGCCACCTCTGGGGTTTCTGCAGCCGGATTTGTTAAGGAGAAGCGGCCGTTGTTTGACATTGGGTATGCCCCATCACCCGTACTGGTCGATGAACGGTCAAGTTGTTAACCGCCATAATTGCCATAATTATTGTTTAAAACAATTACAAACCATCACCAACCACTGTTAATGGGGATGCCCGGTTTTGACAAGCGTTTTCAAAGACTGTTTCTGAACCCCTTTTGCGACAGACCCACTTGCTCTAATACCTTATATATATATGCATAAATACCTTAACTGACCTAAAATAACTCAACGCCACTCTAATCTAAGCCACCCTCAGCTTTTCGAAACAACTTTAAGCTATTCTAAAACTACTCGATGCCAAAAAACACGCAAAAACTCCAAAACCATTTAGAATTTTAGAGGGACTTTGTCAAAAGTGTGTTTGGTTAGGGGTGCATCGCCTTACTACAGATTCCAAACAAAATGATCAAGGCGCTGCCAACTGAATGTCAGCCCAACAAAATTCACTCTAAACCGCCCTAAAAGTTTAGAGTGGGAAGCGCCTGCAAGAGGGTCTCTGGCCTTGCTTGATTTGTGGGAAGTACTATCCAGCACCATTTCTAAACAACTCTAAAATTTTAGAGTCCAACTCTAGATTTTTTTGAAAAATGATTGGAATTCAATGTAATCGTCCTAGGAAACCCAGTGCAACCGAGTTTCCTTTCCCACATGTGTGTTTCCCATTCAAGGCCCCTTTCCCACAGTGGTTCGTTCCCCTCTAAAACTTTTAGAGGGGTTTAGATGAACTGGGACTGTGGGCAAGGGGGCTCATGAACTTCCCGTTTTGAATGCCGGGGTTGTTCCCCAATCATTTTATGTATGGCATTATGTATTTACACCACCTGAGAAAGTGGTCCGGGTGGGTTTGGCGGTTCTTGCTACCTTCTGAGGATGCGGTTGGAACCCTAGGGATTTACATATCCAGTACTTTTGGATGCCCATGGATGCCCCTTTTCACCCACTCCAATGTAGCCATATGCCAGTCCCAAAGAGTTTATTTTTTTGAAAAGGAGCATGTTTGATTTTTCTGGGTTGAACCTGTTGAGTTGACGTGTCGATGCTATTTTTGCTGAACTGTTTCACCGCTGACGTGTGTTCGATTTGAGACTGCACGGCGTGAAGTGTCAGATCTACTGGCTTGCTATATTGGTCTAATTATTCTATACCCAGACGCTCATGTGCCCTCATATGGAGGGGTCGGACCCTCTTATCGAGGGGTTCTGGGGTCTCAAATCCCTCGGTTTTGAGGGACCAAGGGTTGTTGGGAGCGTTTGGGTATATATATACATATAGAGCTTCATAACTTCATACCAAGAGAAGGCAGGAGTCGGGTGGTTGAGGGCTGACTAAGCCCAACTGGCCAGTCCTCTACCAAGCACGGCCCAGTGTGACAACTATATCATACTTTAGATTTGCATGTTTCTTTTGCACCTGAACAAGAGGACAGGACTGCAGAAGGAAAGGGGTTATACCCTACGCAGACTTGAGCGACCACCATGCGCACCCCAAAAACGTTCAAGTGTTCGATGCGGCACAGGAAAAACCCACCTGACCGGTCAATTTCGACGGTGGCACGTCGACCGGCCGATGTCGGGCACTCGATGTCGGGCATCACGGCCCGGCCTGAGGCACGTGTCCACTACCGGAGGGCGAAATCACACCGCGACCAGTGGCCGAACGCTTCAAGGAGCCCCGAGGGACGCCACGCCTGCGTGGCGCTTGAGAAAAGGTGCGAGTGGATGAAGGCATGGATGGAGGACATCCAGCTGCACCACCGCAAGGGGTGGTTCGATTCGGAAGGAGCAACGCTGAGGGTCGCGTTTTACAGGGGGTAAAGAAATGATGTCCTATGAAACAGGGGCCTTTTCGGAGATACAGGAGTTTCCCAACGTTTTGCCAGTGTGGACAGAATATTAGCTACACCAGGCAGTTGCTTATTAGCTATACCAGGGTAGTTGCTAGACACCCATGACGTCCCATTGCCATAAATTTGGTTGGTCAGAAAGGTGGACCTGAGGATGAGTTCGACAGTGGGAGTACCAGTCCACAACTTGATGTTGTGGGAGTATTTGGATGGCGGATTTGGTGATGAGACAGAGGCGACAAGAGAACCCTGCAAGCTGCCCAAAAGTTTCGATAGCTGAACCCGACTTTCCCTACCTAGGAATAGTGGATCACCATGGATCACCTGTTTACCTTGCCTGGGATTGGGAGAACCTCACACAACAAGAAACACTCTAAGCATGATGTTTTAGGGAAATGGCTGAGTCAGTCTGAAAGACCTCTCCAACCTCAGTGACTTCCGCAGCTTCACCGTCCGAGCTGCGTATCTTCTGGTCTTGCGGCTTGTCGCACGGTGCGCGCCGTGTGACCGGCGACAGGTGTACCATTTGGATGTGGAGCCCTTGGAGGACCGCTTGGTGCTGTTCAGTAGCCAGTGGCTGGAGCACGAGGCGCGCTTGGTTCTGCGTCGAGGGGGGGTGGTATTGCCCGTATTGCCCGTTTCACCCTGGCTTTTGGGACCTCACTTGGTGAGTAGTCTGTGGCTTGTTCCGTGGACCGCCAAAAGTCCCCCGGTGCCAACGGTGGAAGGTGCCGAGACTGGGGCTGGAGGGGTGTGCCAGCTGGAGGTGACTGGAGGCATCAGTTAGGAGACGTCCCGCGACATGAGGGCCCACAGAGTTTGGAGCTGGACGAGACTGGCCTTGTGATGGGCTTCACCTTCCCTTTGGTACCGGACACGGTGCCCACCTCTCAGGTCTTGCCGGCCTATGCTGAGCGATGGGTGCCTCAATCTGGAAATCGGCCGAGTGATTTGGATGGGGCAGGCAGCCAGGCTGGCGGATCTTACAGGTAATGACCAGCACCCTGGCAGCTGACCAGCACCCTGGCAGCTTAGTCTGATTCGCTGGAACTAGAGGAGACGTTGAAAGCTCCACAGCTGACACTTCTCATAGAAGCGATTTATCGAACGCCAGTGGTTTCCAGTGCGTTGTCGGGTCACATCGTTGCGAGGAATGCCACGGGTCTATTCTTTGTCAAGAGAGGTTGAGAGACCTGAACTAATAGGACCCTGTAGTTGTACATATAATATATATGGGCCATATATATGGGCTCTTGGTTTGTTTTGCATTAGCTGGCGTCCCCAGAAGCAGAGTGCAGGCCAGCTGTTGCTGGACTCCATGGTCACCATGGTCGAAGGGTTCAGCGGGACTGGCATAGATGTCAAGAAATGGCTAGGGGTGGTTCGTTTCAGGGGTTGGTTTGGGACTGGCATAGCTCTTCCATTTCCAGACAGGTCGCTTCCCAGCGCATGGTATCCTAGCCTCTCCTCAACCTCTTACCGTTCGGACCACCGGTGGGTATCGATTCCCGTGTCTCGTTGAACTTGGTTCGGCCCTTTAGGCCCTGACGACCTGGTTCTACTGAACGCGTGGTCGCCAAAAAGAGGGCGAGAGTTCTACAGCCTTCTCAGTAGATCCTGGAGACTTTCGAGGTCTTTCACCGAGATGAACTATGAAGCAAGCTTCCCGGCCCACCTAGATGAATTGATGGGTGCGAAGTGGATGTTACGCTACCCAAACTCGGCCAACCTTCTTTTAAAATGGTCTTGGAACGCTGGAAACATTTGGTGGCGAGTTTCTCTTACTCATCATCTTCGCCTGCTGGCAGCAGTCAGCATCTACCCATGACATCAGTGTTTCAAGGAAGATCTTGGGTCTGTCCTGTTACCTGAAACAGTGAGCACAATTATCACTAGTTTAGAGAAAGCCCTTTACAAACCTGTTACTGGAAATAGATATACATGGATATACCATGATATACCCATCATATCGCATGTTTACTTTGAAAGCTGCATCCATGGGATATGTCGGTGCAGGGGCGCAATCTCTTTGAGAAAAGTGCTTGAACATAAAAGTATAGGGACCCACCTCTCCAGTCACCCATCCTCCCCCCCCTCTTAGATACGTGGATCTTATGCTGCTTCATGCTGCTTCTCCCACCGCGCTCATCCCTTTCGGCCCAACCGGGCCCCCGTGCAGTGCGACCGGGTGCCCGGACGCGGGTTCCGGCGGGTTCAGGGGCGCTGCCTCGGCCGCCGCGGGGTTCGGCGGGCGGAAGCGGCGCGGCCGGATGAGACGCCATGGCGCTCCAACGCGTGCCGGCGTCGATGAGTTCGGGACACCCGGACGGAGGGCCATGAAGCGGTGAGGGCGGTGGGGGACCGGGAGGGAGGTCTTGTTTCATAGCCCTTTTTGGAGCGCCAGGATCTACGGGGTTTTGTAAGAAGGGGAGGCTTTGACGTGAACGGTTTAATTTCAGAAGACCAGTACGGTTGTTGTATGATGTTGTGAGGAGTGCACGTGCAATTGCTCTCCAAGAATATATTTGGGGTCAAAGTTTCACCCGACCTCGGACAAAATCCAAGCTCAAACATTCACTTGTTAATGGAAGTTTGGATGTTGCATAGGCATAGGCCTTCCAATGGGAGGCTTTGAGCACCCCGCTTGCTCACAAACCTCCAAGAATGGGGTCCATGGGAGAGTAGCACTGCAGCCTGAGGGCCCGCTTGGAGCGTAGGGTGTCAACCTGAGTAGAAGATAGTAGAAGAAGTATTCTTTAGAAGCGTTTTTGCCCAGGGCGCCACCACCTGTGCTGGCGAATCCTAAACCCCTAAACACTAAAAAGGATCATCACCATCCTTTTCCAAACACACCAGCACCAATTAATATAATTTGCTCTATTTTTCAACATCATATCATGATTCGGTTGCAGTGTTTTTTTTTTTATTTTGGCAGACTTTGCCCTTGTGTCTTGGCGGAGCTGTTATAGTTGAGCTTAAGCTGACCTTAGCAGGTAGTCAAGCAATGACTGACGGGGTTTAGGGAGGCAGAGGTGCAACAACTGTCCATCCTGAATTCGATGGAGCTTTGGGCACCTTTAAATAACAATCCTACTAACTGGAGAGGCTCGTAGCAGATGTCGGGTTAATCGAGAAGATGGAAATCCGAGATGCCGTCACCTGTCTCCGGATGGTATTCCAGATGGGTACCTGAGCGGTTGTGATTTATCCAGGCACGGGACGAGTGCGAGGTTTGTGTGTGGTGGGTCTTTGCAGCTCTTTCCTGTAAAGAAAACACGTCGAATGATTGATTTTTGTCCAGACACTCCATGTCTTGAAGCATCTCGACATTGATCCCTCAATCCGCTCGGATGGAAGTCTTTGAAATGCCAGTTCCATGGCATGTTTGGGTGTTCGCTTGTCGCCCCATGAGGCGCCAGCTGCTCCATTTTCGTCGGAAACGTGCCCTATGACGCCCGGGGACCGTGGCGGGTCGTTCGAGTCGGAAGTTGGTTGAGGACGCCCGGTGCCTCCCCTACACCTCCCTTCCCCCCCTTCCGCACCACTGAGTTCGGGTCCAAGAACCGCTCGAAGGACCTGAAGAAGCACCCTGATCGGTTCACTGACGGTGTTTCTCACTCAAGCCCTAGCTCGTTAAACCCTTAACATAGAAGATCTAAGAACAGTTAAAGAACCCATGCTTAAGAATTCAGGGGGTTCCAACGTACATCCTGAGATGGTATATCTGGTGTGGGGGGGGGGTTGACAGGGTTGAAACATGTTGAAACACCTCGTGAGGAGGTACGCATTGATTGCCTGCATTGATTCATCACTCCCCCGCTGTGGGGGTCACTGTGGGGGTCATCAATCAACAGATGTCAACAGTCAAGGCGAGGTGTACACACCTGGACCCTCTGACCTCGGGGTGTCCTGGCGAACGACTACCCCACACGATCTACCGCACGTAAGGCTTCCAGGTCCAGGGCACCCCACGGTGGAGGTCGGGTCCTGGCATGTGTACACTGGAATCCTCATGGTCGATCATGGAGTGAGTTCTCCACCCTGTTGCGGTCCGAAGCGTCAACGTGCCAGTGTGTTTGGTCCACACGGGACGGACGACACGTCATGATGTCGAAAGGAGTCGAGTCTGTGGTGTGTGAGCTCAGTCCTTTTTTTGGTTGTCACACTGGTGAGGTGAAACTTCCAAGAACTAGGGCTATACTGAAGAAGAGACTTGGATGCGGTGTCTTCACGGAGCTCAGTGTCTTCACTGAAGAACTAATAGAGCTTTACTTGTTTTTGGTTTTTCTCGGTGAAGACACTTGGACTGCGGTGATCACTGCTGTAGATGTGCGTGTGCTGTTTTGGTTGGGGGGTCAGTTGGTCGTTGATTGTTCCTGTACCGGTTGAAAGGGCTTTAGTTGAGTTTACTCCAGATGCCTTTTCTCAAGCTCATCCCCTATCCCCTCCTAGTCCCCTCCTATTTCCTGGTGCCAGGCCAGCGAGGATGAGCTGAAAGAGCTCTTTGGGCGTGTGGGCAACGTGACCAGCGTGCGCTTGGTCTTGGACAAGGCGCCGGGAAGAGACCCACATGGAACCTGAAAATGGACCTTTGGAAGACTATTTTCCTCTACAAGTCTACAACCCAGTGGTTTTCAGGTTCCATGTTAAATTTCCAGAGTGTAAGGGTCAGTGAAGGTCCATATGTCATGGCTTGTTGCAGCATTGATATCGGCTGTGGGAACAGGAGGGGCATGAGGAGTCTCAGCTACTGTTAGGTGCCTGGTTATTAGAGACTGCCGAGATGCTCCCACAACCCTTGGCACCTCAAAACTTAGGGATTTGAGACCCCAGCCCTCTCCAGAGGATTCGGGTCTAGGAGCGTGCGGGTGAATCATTCCTAGGGAAGACCAAACGAACTTTTGGGGAATCGGGGGTCGCTTCACTCAACAAAACAGGATGACGTGTGGCATCGTTTTTGAAATAAGCCGAAGGACCATGACGCGTCATCTACCCTGTCAGTGACTAAGCTTTTGAGGGGATTGGGAACACCCCACTGAAAATGAACAGATGGAACCTGTACCGTGGAACCTGTGAGTTTGCGGTATGATCACAACACGTGATCGGATTGGCAGAACAGATGGAGAAAGCTCAAGCTTTGTTCTCAAGGGACAACGGCTCGGAAGTCGGCACACGGATCTGCCGCGTCCGGTTCGCTTCGTGTGTTCGGTTCGCACGGTAGTTCGTCGGACCGCCCAGAAAGATGTCCAGAATCCCGTTGAACGGGCGGTGGTTTCGGAGATGTGTTTGTTCGACCTTTACTTGGGACGATCGATCCCACTGATTATGGTTCAAGTGAGTTCAAAGTTCAAACCACCAACTACCAGGACCCTCCTGTCGGGGTGCCCTGTCTGGAAGCCTAGGTAGTGTGGGGTAGTCCAGCCAGGACACCCCTTGGAGGGTCCAGGTACAATATAGTCGAATATAGTTGGTAGTCGAATATAGTTGGTGGTTTGAACTTTGAACTCACTTGAACAATAATCTATATATAGGTGTGATTTGCAACACAAAGGTGACAAAGGCCTAAAGATTACAAACTGCATACATCCGCTTGCTGTCAGAGACCTTGCCCACTGCCAGCTGCAAGGTGTGCATTCTTCAGTGACCAGTCCTATCTAGGTGATCACTCTCATGCCCATCCGGGCTCCGAACGGCCCATCGTGGTGGGTGGTCAGGCACCCCTGACCATCCACACCAACCATCTTCGGTCATATTGGCCATCTCACTTCCCATCTCCGGTCCGCCGCACCGCGGAAGAGAACCGCGCGCCCGCGTTCACGTCACGAACTGGCCGGCCCACGCGCCGTGACGCCGACACCGCACCTCGCGCCTCGGCTGGGCAGGACACCAAGACGCCCAAGGGCTATGCCTTCGCCGACTTCGCGGACCCCGCGTCCGTCCAGGCGCGGTGAGGTTAGCTGCGGAGGGCGGTGATTTGTCCGGAGGGGGGGGTGGCTGGGACGTTCAGCCACAGAGAAAGCCGAGCGAAGTCGTTTGGAGTGGGGGCTCAGGTTTGAGGGCATAGCTGTAGAGGCCTTGGGGGCTCGGAGGCTCCAGGGGTGGGAACGCCTGGAGGTTGGAAGGGGGCAAAAGAGAGGGTGTGATGGTTTTGTTGAGAATTTTCAGGGGGAGTGAATGCAGTAGGTGTGGAACATTTTTTGGCTGGAGAGGAGAGGTGGGGGTGGCAAGTGGCCAGTGGGGGTACTGTGGGTTCAGTGGCGGATGTGCATGGCTGATGTGGCTGGTGCGTTTAAAGAAGGTTTGCTATAGTGTGGAAAGATGTCGACCCTTTTTGCTCGCGCACCAACAGAGGTTGAAGGACCTTATAGACTATCCCATAGGTACCCCTGTAGGGTCCTATAAGGTCACTTAACCTCTGTTGGCAGTTTTGATATACTGCTGCTTTGCTTGCTGAACGTTTTTCAGTTCAAGGAAGTTCTGGAGCTCATAATCAGGCACAGGAAGAGCACTGAGGCACTTTGCGTGCTGATGATTCTGCTTTGAGCTTTGTATCTGCTGCAGACCCTCTGCAAGAGCCCTACAATTTTTGAGAAATGATGCTCTTCTTGGCTTATTGGAAGGTCTTCTATTGGCAAACAAATGTGTCTTTCATTTCAACAATTGGATGTTCATAGCAACAGCTGTCATATTTTGCACCATACCATGCCAAGTTAAGCATTGACATATTTCAAGAAGTACATATATAATGTTTAATTTAGATACAGTATACCCATGTAACTACTGCCGCGCCTTCCGGCTTCAAGGTTTGCCAAGCTCTAGGGCTCCTGGCCCACCTCCGTTTCCAAGATGGTGGATTTGGGGGCTCCATTTTGGGGCTCCTGGCCCACCTTCTGATGGAGATAGGAGCCCAGGAACCCAGGAGCCGGTCTTCGTGCCGCGGCCCTCGCCAGGCGGCGGTGGAGAAGCTCAACCATGTGGAGTACAATGGCTGGGGGGTCCTGGAATCACGGTGGAGAACGGTGAACAAGAACATGTGGAGAACGTTCTACATCTGAAGCCATGGAAGAAAGGACTTGCGGTTGTTGAAGGAAGACCTCCAGCTACATGTGAGGTGAGGCGCAAAGAGCGACTTTTCATTCCCCATACACTCCATGTATGGAATGCCTACATGGACTCCAAATCAACCACCCCCAAATATCTGCCAGTCCGGATGCTTTGGGTATCCCAATCGGCCGCCTCCAGTTCTGTGAACCTCAGTGGGACGACCGGTAGGTTGGGCCGGGTGCCAGCGGTTCGGTAGAACCGAGGAGGTACGACTGGAGGTGTAGAGTGTGTGAAGGTGTCCTCGACCTTGTCCTCCAGAGCCACCAGGTCGGAAGCTGCGGATCGATGTAGGGCGGCCTGGGCCGGGGGGTGTTTGGCGGTCGCGGGCGCGGTCGTGGGTCCTCAGCGCTGCAGGTGGGCGGTTGGCTTTCTAAAGGCTCCCAAAACTGGATGTGGAAGAGAACATGTACTATAGGAAACGACGGGTTTTCACCCATTTGTCTAAAGGGTTTCCCATAGATGTGCTCTTGAACCAGGTCTGGGAATCATGTTTTTGGGATGGCTTAGGATGTCCACACCACCTAGTTTGGAAGCTATACCTCCGTTTCTACGGATCTTTGTTTGGCGCATTGTCTTGTAATGTCTCGAAGATATATTGTGGAACACCCAGTGGCGGACAGCAGAATTGTTGGTGGCGCACGGGGAGAGACAGACAGACAGGACAGGACCGGACCAGGACAGGACAAGAAAGAAAAGACATAAAACCAAGAAGAAAAGAAGAGAAAGTCACATACAGAATGAAAGAACTAAAAGAGACCTGTCACCCAAATCCGCCCAAACCAATGGACCAAGGCAGCCGAGCGCGAGCTGCAGAACCCTTTCCGAGAGGCAAGACCTGGAGCCCAAACAGGAACGTGACCAACAAGTGACAAATCGCTAGCGTCACGTCAACCTGGAGTAAGCTGGCAGATAGAAACGGCTTCCAAGACATGTTTATATTATAGTCTAAGCTAATCATATCGCTATATTATATATCTACCAGCACCTTCCAACAGGTCTCCGAAATGGAGGGTTGTTAGGCCCTAACAGGTTTCAATTGGTGACCTGGCAGGTTTCGGTGCTGGTACTTGGGTAGACCTATATCAGGTGATGATACTTTCCCGAACTGGCTCAATCCGTCACCTCACCCTAACCTGGTGAAGATGCCCTTTCCCAAAAGGACAGCACATCCAACAGATGTGGATCAGCTCTCCGAATCGCCGGCTGCGCAGGGCGGGCTTAAGAGGACCCCCCCCCCACGATTTTTGTGCCGCTAGCGCTTCCTACGGACAATGATGGCTCTGAGAGCTGTTATGTTTTGGAGGCCTTTTTTCTTGAACATGAGCACATCTATGTCTATTAAAATACGGTAAATAAAAGTGGCACGCACGGAGATAGAATGGAGATAGAATATTAGCTCTTTTGAAGATTCGTTTGCAGACAGCCTTGCAACCCGTGGTCTTACCACCCCGGACTCCGCCTCCGACGCCTCCACGCAGCGCACAGGATGGGCCTGGCGTCAGCAAAGGCAAAGGCAAAGGCGCGGAGCTCCGGTCGAAGCCTCGGTCGAGACTAATCCCTAGGGCTCCTGGCCGCCCTCGTCGGTTTCGAAATTGGGCCACAGGTGGGAACCCAGCGGATTCAACCACCGCCGGTCACCTGAGGAGATGGGCCGATCGGAACCCTATAGGGAATGGAAGGGATTCTGGAACGGGCACAGGAGTGCTCATGAGATTGGATACTACAATCTGACGGCATGAGACGTAATGAACATACCTCTGTGCCATTGACTGTCTCGGCCTTGGGAGAAAGAAGCTGCTTGAGTGATTGCACCAAGCAATGGAGATCCCCCAACCTCCAAATCACATGTAACGCATGTAAAAGGGTGAACCTCCAGTTCAGCCCGGATGTGATTGTGTGTGAAAGTGGGATTGGGTCACACCAGAGTCGCGCCCATCTCGCCTCAACACTAATATAGATTCCAAAGAAGGGGCTGCATGCGGTGCGTCGGGCATTCGGTGAACTCGAGTGGTCGTGTTTGGAATGTCTCGGGTCACTTGGAGTTCTTGGAAACGTTCTTGTGATAGGACGGCTTTTGGTTTCATGTGATATGTTTTCTTCTCCGTTGGAGATGTCCTAGCCCTGTTCATTCACTGGATGTGAGAAAAATCAGATGTTCGCCAATGGATCCCTATGGATATAACATACACTCCGAGAAGGTGATTGGGAGACACTTGGTCTTGTAGGCTTGCCAAGGCCTTTTTTGGAGAAGGTATCTGGATCCGTCATGGATGAATGTGCACCAGGCTCGCCCCGCCGCTCATCCCAAGTCCCCTTGTGGTGGCCAGTTCCAGTCTCGCTGACCAAACGCACATGGGAAACTCCCTGAAATGATGGTGATGTGGAAAATGGAGGTTTCAATGACCATAATAAGTCAATATGGTCATTGAAAGTGGCCAGTTTCAATCATGGTTATTTCATAATTCCATAGACCATTTTCATCCATGCCATCCATTTTGCCTAATTCCAGGGTCTGTCGGGTCCCTGATCGTCCATTGATTATTTGGGCTCAAGCGCGGTTTTTTGTTTCATCCCGCGCAGAAAAGAAAACCGCCCTCTCCGCTGGCTTGCCGGCAAGTGGAGGCGACCACGCTGGGGTGCAGATGAACTTGAAAAGTCACAAAAAAGACTTGCCTACTAGCTTCTTGTTACTACTAGTAATGACCTCCAACCTAATAGCGATGGCCTCCAACCTACTAGCTCCCTGTTACTACGTAACTACTATTATAAACGCCTACGCATCACCTACGCAAGGGGATTCGCGATATATGCTGCCCTGATGATGGCGATTTGCATCATCGCTGGGTAGAAACGTAGACCTCATGCTGGACATATGTGCCACATGTGCTGCTGTAGTCATAGTGGCAAATCTGGCTTAGATCACTCCAAGATGCTTCTTCGTTCAAGGCCTTCCGTTTGCACAGCAGGTCGTTTGGGTCATGTCCGCCCCTCCCTGCAACGGACATGGACAACCCCCTCTTGGTAGAGGAAAGTCGTCAGGAGCCAGCGTCTGTCCACTTCCATGATTGAGGAAAGAGTGTCATGAGATATAGGTGCCGTTTCGTTCTAGTCCGCAACACGAACCAACACTTCTTCCACCCATGTGATCAAACCCCACCCGCCCAGTCCGGGCGACCCCCGCCCACCCCACCGCAAGGCAGGGCCATGGGCGACAAGGCGGCGCTGGCCGCGCTGGGCATCGCCGAGGCGCCGCCCAAGGCGGCGCCGCCCGAGCCCAGCGGGCCGCACTTCACCTCGGCGGCCGAGGACCCAAAACGCGTGGGGATGAGGGACCTGCCGGGAGGGGCGAGAGAATAGATGGGTTTTGGTACAGAATAGATGGGGTTCTTCCCAACTGTTGGGAAGTGGTTCATGAGTCCCAAGAGTCTAGAATCATGGTGAGATTTGTTGTTCTACTGATAGATTTGGCTTGTTCATTCACAGGCATGAAGCGCCAGCAAAACCTCGTGGGATGCCCCGGTCCCCTTTGACGGCACCCCGGTCGATGAGAACGCGGGCGGCGTTCTTCCGCGCGGGAAAACCTGGTCGGTGAGGCGGGGATCGGCTGGCAAGTCCCCCCCCCCGCAGGTGGTAGGACCATCCGGGTGTCTTAGTTCATAGCGCGACCCCTCGGCGATGTTCCAAGCCACAGCTCGTGTTGATGCTAGTTAATTACTCATGAAACCCATGGGTTTTGTTATGTTGGTTGTGACCCAAAACGGCCATGCCATGCCATTCCTGACAGCGGTGGTTCGACTTCTGGATCTTGAAGAACACCGCGACTCGTTCTCAAGGGTATGTTCCTAAGCTGAGTGGGGGGGGCCACTCAGGACGCGAGGTGGACCCATCCATGCCAGATTCCGCTCCCAGCTGCTCCGCACTTGCCGAATCGGTCGTATGAATCGGTCGTACTCCAGGACCTCATGAAGAGTGTGGCAGAACTCTTAAAGCGGAAGAGGCGCGACCCCTTCAGCCGGCTCAGCAACGACCCGCTACCCAAAGGGTTTGGACTCGGCAAGGACCCTCACAACTAGGCAGGTCCATGGGCCCTGAAAACATGTACTGTAGCAGATGGTTCTTGTCCAGGGCCACCTTTGGGAGTGAAGGTGTTGGATTTTGACTCCCACTGGGTTTATCTGGGAGTTCATATTATGGTAGACTAGACAGAGGACGTCCTCTAGAAATACCCAGTTTCACCCCATTGCTTGGAGTATGCATTGTATTGCACTTGTATGAGAGTCCATTTGGAGAAAACGGATGTCGTGCAAAGCGCATCAAGCAAAAGCCGTGAAGAATACAGACACAGCAAACATAGCCACAAAGCACATCATGATAGGACACAAACACACGTTCCAACCAACAGCTTGAGGAACAAAGAACACATGATCCTTCATATTGTAGCTTCACCCTGGACATCGGATCTGCAAAGAAAACCACTACGAACCAGTTTACATATCCCAGACACTCCATGTATGCCATATATGCCTACATTGACCCCTCAAACCACCCCAATGTAGGCATATATGGCAATACATGGAGTGTCTAGGGTACAGGTAATCCGTCTTTGGCTGCGCCTTCCGTCCCAGGTCCAGGTCTCCTGGTGAAAGTGACTCCGTGACGTGTTGGCTTTTTCTTGGCAGTCCAATGAGGTCCATCGGAGCATGTGAACGGGCTTCCCTTTGGAAAGGCCAGCAACCTGCCGGTCTTTTGCTAGGGATCCAAGTACCTTCTCAGAAGGTACTTGGACCCTCCAATCCCACATAACAGTGCCTCCAATCACCTTCTGAGAAGGTACTTGGATCCCTAGTAGGGTTTCTGAGTCGCCCAAACCACCTGCCTCGCCGGGTCCAGCGAGCGAGCGAGCGAAGAGCGAGCTACAGCTGGCGCCAGGTTACGGGCCAGCGACCTCTTTAAGAAGATCGATTCCTCTGGCGACGGTGCGGGATCTTGGAGAAGTGGTGAAGTCCAATTGGGCCAAGCCTGGCACCTTCACACCCGGACCGTCCAGATCGGTCGAGGATCGAAGAACGGTCAAGCGGAGACCGGTCGAGTGTGGTTGGGTTGGACATGCCTGAGCTGGCTCACATGGCGACATGGCTCACGATACAGCCGTGGAGCTCAACATGTTGAATGTTTTGGAAAGATTCCAGTGCTGTTTTCCCATGTTTTCCCATTTTTAGCTGCATCAATAGACTAAAACCATAGACCTAGAATCTCTGGTTCCTTATATAGTGGTAACTGGGATGCACTGGGATAGTTTTGTTTTCCGCTATAGAGCTGTATCAATAGTTTGTCACAGGAAGTTCATTCCCATCTTCACAAGTTCGCATGGCTCCCATCAACCAAAAGTCCGCCTTCTGCTTCGCCCCCCCTTGCCACCCCGATGCGGATCGAACTGTGGCGGCTCAGCTTTCCATGGCGCTTCACCGTGGCGCGCGCTCTGCGCTTTTCGCCCCAGGCAACGTCACCGGGGAGGAGCTCCGGATGGGCCTCCATGACCTGGGCTTCAAGCTCTCGGACGTGTCTCCGACCTGAACTCGAGCGGTCCGGTGGGAGCCGGTCCAGGGGGTCGGTGGGGACCGGTACCGGAGGGAAAGAGAGCTGAGAAATCGGATGGACGTTCCTGGTCTGGTCTGGTCATATCTGGTCATGTGCGACACGTGATGGGGTCAAGTACCGAACAGACAAATGGGACATGGACCAGTGTTTCTAAGAGGTACGACTGAGTCCCCATTTGTGTGAGAAACGAAGGGGGTCTACTCCAGGTAGTATATTGATGAATCAAACCCCGCCATCGTCCTTCTTTTTGGCTTCCGTCGTGAGACGATGATAGTTGTGTTCAGGATTCAGCCGGCTAGTGGGCTCTTTGGAATCTTCAAGCTTTGGAATCCCAGGAATTCCGATGAAGAGTGATCTTCAAGTTTCGGTGATCTTCAAGAGTGGGCTCATCCCAGGGTCCACACATGAAGATCACCGAAGCTTTGCGATGAGGGCCTCTGAGGCGATCGTGACACGGGGGCAAGAACCAGGCTGAGGTCAAGCTGTTTCAACGTGAGGGTGTTTTTTGAAAACCAGACATCATCAAACATTTGTCAATCTTCAATCAGCCAATCAGCTACACTCCTGGAAATCATGGTAGCAGTGGAAAAACACGACCTGTTTGTACAGGAACATGATGGAAATGGTCATCCTGTCCACTTCCATGGAAATTATCAGGAGTGTGGTATGAGCCCTGGCCCTCACGCTTTGCAGGGTTGTTGCCGCGTCGCGTCGCGGTCACAGCTCCGGCCTGGTCTCACATGGCTCGATCACTTTGAGGCCGACCTGGCCTCGATCATGGCCGTGATCGCCGCTTGGACATGGGGTTTCGTCTGGTATTCGTGGCATGAAAGCCAAGCCACGCACCGGACGTCGATGGGGTTCCCCCTATGGCGTCGAGCTGTGGAGTCCGTCTCCGTCCATCCTGCCGACTCCTCGTCCGTCCGGCCGGCCGAACCCGAGGACAAGGACGGTGGAGGAGAGGTCTCGGTGAAGGAGTTCGATCGTGCCATGCGGGCGGCGGAGAAGTTGCCCTCCAAGAAGGAGAAGCACGATGCTGGACTTGGACTTGATGAGGTGGCAGGGCGGATGGACGAGGTTTGTGATCTTCGTGTGTGTTTTGAAGGCAGAATGCGTTGATGACAGGATGCGGAGGGGAGAGGAGCTATATATGATGGGAGGGCTCCCCAAAAAACATCGGCGGAACGGAAGCTCAAACCTGGGTCGACCATTGAGCCAGGCAGTTTTGGAGGGTTTTGAGGTCAGGGGTTCCAGGGGAAGAATGACCAGTGTGGGTGGTTGAAGACGAGGCTCTCATATGCTTTTTCCAACAGGTAGAGGCACTTGGAGGGATTTGACTATACAGTAAGCTCACGGCAAGTCACCCGCGCCACAAAGGACTCAGAGCAACCTACAAACTTGTCAAATAAAGTCATGTAGCCACCAACAACCAACAGAAAATTTGTCATGTTTTGGGGATTGATTCATGTGTTGTATCAGGACAGCTTGCAAATTTGAATCCAGCGGGCCTGGCCACTCGCAGCTCGCACGTCCCACACCCCCGGTCCCCGGGCGCTGACCGAGGAATTGTCCAAAGGGATCCCAGCCAAGAAGGCGGGCATCACTGAGGAAGAGAAAGTGCCCCGCTCGTATTTGGGGGGCCCTGGGAGCGCGAGCTGGGCTTCGCGCTGCAGTCACAGGTCAGCTCGCGCACCATGTTCCGGATCGGTAGGTGTTCGGGCGTTGGCACTGGCGTTGTTCCAAGGAAGGGTTGGCACTGGCGTTCTTGTTTTTGCGCCTGCGCCTTCGAGGACGCGAGGACGAGAGGTGTGTTTGTTGGAAGTTGGAGAGTCAGTGACATCGGTTGCTTGTGAATTAGAGGGCGGAGATGCCGTAGTTGACCTGTCCACCCATCCATCGGACTTAAGTGCTTTAAACTCTACCGATCAACAGCTCAAGGATGCGCAAGACAGTTAAACCGAATCAAACATCAGCTTGGAGGGTGCTGGTATCACTCGACATAGACTTGGCGACATGACCCTGGCATTCCGGGAAAACCGCTTGGCCGATGCAGCTAAAGCACTGAAGTACCGAGACATACTGAGATTGAAGACATAACTGATGGGACTGGATAGCTATGGATAGCTACATTGGGGTGGTTGAAGAGGGGTCAATGAAGTTAATATAATAACAACAGCAAAAGCAACAACAACAACAACAACACACACACACATTGGAAATGGACACCGCCATGGGCTTAAACTTTAAACGCCAATTAAAAGCCAGTCCACAGAAGTGTTTGGATACGATTGGATACCCTGAGAGTCCTTCTAACCTTTTTTTGATTGACTTCGTGGCCCGAGTCCATGCCTTTACTTTGAGGGTGCCCGAGGTGCCAAGTCCAACGGGAACGGCTCGAATCACGATACCGGTGCATCCACCCTTTGAGGGTGCGGTGAGCGGAAGGCTTACGGGGAGTCCAACTGTACGTAGGGGACCTGTTCCCTAAACACGACCCATGGGACTAGCATATGACACCCCGATCAGGCCAGGGGTTGTAGTTAGGGGTAGTCCATGCCAGTCCATGCCAGTCCCGTCTTGGTTGGTGGTGTGTCAAGTCGTTTGATCTTGTTGTTCAGTCATCTGGGTGCTGCCTTGACGGTTAGATGCAACAGATGGCCATATATAACTGGAAGAGTGGCCAGTGGGCGCCAGTGGGTGACGAAAGAAACCCGCCCGCTGGCACCGATCCAAGAAATACACACACAACGCCGTTTTGGGGCGCATCCAGCCAACCCCTGCCGCGGCACGGCCTGGCCGGTGGACCGCCCCACGGCGTCGCGTCCCACCGGTCCACCGGGTGGACCGACGTCCGTCCGTCCGTTCGACCCGCTGAGGAGGAGTTCCGACAGATCTTTTGCTTGTTCAAGCAGTTGACCCAGGCGCATTCAGAGTGTTGCCCCGTAGGTGTTGCCTGGAGTTGGAGTCGAGTCTACATCCATCCGATGCAGCTTTTTTGTCGTGGTGTTGCCTGGATGGAGTTGCTGGGCTTGCAGGGTCGAGTCTACATCCATCGGATATGCAGCTTTTTTGTGTATTTAAGCCCGTGGTTCGTTTGGTCAAGCAGCCGAGCATTGTGGCTCAAGCTCAACTCTCAAGCATTTGGTTTTGACGACCTTACCACATTCAATCTCAGAGAGAGGGAGAGAGATGGGACAGTGCTGCGCTCCTGGTCATCGCCAGCCTTTTCTGACACATCACAACACAGCAGAGATCTTCAAACAGTTTGACACCAATGGAAATGGGGAGCTGGAAGCCACCGAATTGAGGAGCTTCTTCAAGCAAGCTTTCCCGGAGACAGAACTCTCGGAGACAGAGATGAATGACTTGGTGACACAGTTTGATACTGACCAGAATGGAACAATCGGCCTCAATGAGCTTCAGGCCTTCCTTCGCTGTTACGAACCATGGACCAAGACCATCCAACGCAAGACCGCTCTTCTCGTCATCGATGTGCAGAATGATTTCATCACCGGGACTTTGGCGGTGCAGAATTCTGACAGCATCGTGAAGGTGATCAACGAGATTAGAGACCAGTTCGACTGTGTGGTGATTTCTTACGACTGGCATCCACAGGATCATTGCTCCTTCGTTGAAAGCGCCAATGATGGGAAGCTAAAGATCAAAGAAACTGGGAGTGTAGGCAGCTTCAAGGCATTCAACCAGGTGACATTGCTTGCCGACGATGATCGAGCTGAGCATGCACAAATGCTGTATCCGCGCCACTGTGTTCAGAAGTCATGGGGTAGCGAGTGCCACAAGGACTTGATTGTGAAGCCACAGGATATGTCCGTCTACAAGGGGCAGAAGGCCAACATTGACTCTTACTCAGCCTTCTTCGACAACTGCAAGGCCAATGACACTGGCCTCACGAAGCAGTTGGAGGATGCTGGAGTAACAGATGTTTACTGCTGCGGCTTGGTGTTTGACATTTGTGTCAAGTCCAGTGCTTTGCACGGAGCCGAGAATGGATTTCGTGTGTCCGTGATTGAAGATGCCTGTAAGCCCTTGAGCGAAAGCGAAGTGGAGCCGACCAAGAAGCTTCTGGCGGAGGCTGGTGTCAAGGTGATGTCCTCAAGCAAGGCCACAGAGGAGGTGAAGCAGATCGGAGGAGGGAAGATGGCTCTGAAGGAGTTTGTTGAGTCAGTGAAGCCCCACAAACGTGCGGCTGCGCTTCACAAGTCTGAGACGCTTTCCTCTCATTGTCCTGCTGCCAGGTAAACGCCTAGCAGGCATACAATAGGCTTGCCAGCGTTGTGAGTGCGTGTAGACCAGAGAAAGCTGAAATCACTGAAGCAAATAGAAAACAAACCTGCAGTTGATATGCATTAGTCCTTGTCAGCTTCCTTCTTTGGATCATTATGTACATTAGACTTTCGACTCCAGTAGCCAAGCCCCAATTTAGTTGGCTTGGTCAAGTTAGATGGCTTTTACATCTCCAGTCTTGTGGAGTTGTAGTCATCTACATTAAGTCATTGAGTCCCTACATAACTTCCAAGACATGTGTTCTTTGTGTCCCAAGTGGTAACGTGAAAGTGGCCTCATGGTTGGTGACCATTACAGTAGTCGTCAACGCCACGGGCCCGTCACAGGCCCGCTCCGCGGCGGGCGCGGACGAGAATGTGGCGCTCACCGCGTGGAATGAAACGGGCCACATTGGCGACTCGGCTTGGGCGGTTTGCGGGGAGGAGGCAGTGGGCGTAGGTCCGGCGGTGGGCGGGTGGTCAGTGGGAGCAGAAACTCCCACAGCCTCGAATTCATGAAGCGAAGCCGGGGTCTTACAACTGAAGCATCATGAGGTTTGATCGCACAAAACATGTTTCCATGCGAGTCTTAAAGCATGGGTGGTGGTGTTTTTGAATACAAGCAAGACATCATGGGTTGTGAGCAGAGTTGTTTGTTGATATTGTGTATTATACAACTGTTCTAAATTCAGATTTTAATGATTACAGTCTTCTCTAAGCAACACTGACGTCAAGAAGCAGGGACATCGATGGGTTTTGACCTACCAAAGTTGTTTCCTCACTTTTTCAAGATGCGACACTTCGTAGGTATCCAAGAACACTCCCTAATTATCGCTGAGGTTCTACTTTTGAGAGGTTCTAAGAGGTCAGTGTAGGTCCGGTACTGTACATATTCCATACATGGATCTTCTCGGACGGTTTGGACTACTTCCTTCATGTGGAAGCTACCTTTCCCCACCTGAAACCCTTAGCAGTAGCACATGAGTCACCGCGTGCCGATGCACATTGGCCAGACGGACGTGTTTCGCTGAGGTGCCGATGATCTGGAGACGCTGCTAGAGGCGGTTGGCTTGAAGTTGAGTCCCTTGCAGATGGTCCCTCAGCCGCAGGGACCATGCTCGTACCTGGGGTTTGTGGCACGCCACATGCAAAATGCTCCAAATGAGCTCCTTTTTTTGTGTGGGCTTAGGCAAGACCCAGAGGTTTCGTGTTCCCAGCGCCATCCTTGAGCGCCATTCTTTGTCAATCAGTACCTTTTCGAGTTGTTTTCGTGACGCAAACACCGCGCACATGTTGTGTATTTAGGGACATGCCCCACACCATCCATTTATGGAATAGTTCACCCCGTTTTTGACCCCAAAAAACAAATGACACTTGATCTTCAGTTTTAATCCCCAGCTCCTTGGGCACCATCCGTCCGCGCCGCCCACGGTGCCACGCCCCCACACCTACACCTGTGGCTTTTGCCAAGAACGCGCCTCGAGGTCCAGGAGAGATGATGTCCGAAACAAAGAGTTCGGCTACTTATATACCTATAGACCCCAAATACTACTGTCATGTTTTTAAGGTTCTGGGGTCTTATGGTATAGATCATAGATCATCTTAGATCGGCTGGGGATTTTACTCAGTGCTGAACATAACTGACTATGAACTAACCATACCCATACACTCCATGGGACTGGAATATATGCCTACATTGACCCACCAAACGACCCCAACTGTTGGGCAAATATGCCAGTCCCATGGAGTGCTTGGGATAGTTGAAATTATCCTAACATTTTTCCGGGTTCCTGAAGATCCAAGAACCTGTTCTTGGATTCTGCGGCAAGTTCTCCGTTGGGTGCGACACCACATCGGTCCGGTCCGCGTCCGGGTCCGGGTCGACCTTCGTCCGCTGAGGAAGCGATGATCGGCGAGATCGATGTGGCTCGACGATGTGTCGATCCGGATCCGTTGGTCCAGAGGTCCAGAGACGGCGCCATTCAACGACCAAAGACTCCATGGGACTGCCATATCCCAGACACGACGAATGGGACTGGAATATATGCCGATCAATTGACCCCCCTGGCACCACCCCAATGTATACGCATATATATATATAGCATGCATGGAGCGTCTGTGTATTATGAAACCGCCTGGCACCACCCCAACTGGTCGGTCAATATGGCAGTCTCATGGGTGTTTGGGTATGCATAGTGAGGGAGTCAACACCTCGAAACTGCCCAATCCAGGGTTTCGGTGGACCTCCCAAGCAGCCCGAGGAATTGGTTTCACGTCTAAAACCCAGGGTGCCCGGATGCCATAGTGCCATGGTGCGATATGGCGCGCCATGAGCCTTGTTCCTTGTTCGGTGGGAGACCAGTTGTTAACTCTGTTTGGGTTCTTCCGGTTCTTCAGGTGATTCAGGTGAAGTCCAACCGAGTCCCCAACACCCAGACACTCCATAGACACTCCATGGGGCTGGCATATGTACATATAATATACCCTCAACTTCAAACGCCTCTAGTAAACTTGTGCCTTTACCCACGTCGAAGTTTACTCAAGACATGTCTTCTCGCCTAAGTTTACCCTGTGCTCAGTTTGGCTGGTTCTTAACCCGTTTAACCTTTCAAAATCAGTCCAGGAACTTAGTTTCAACAATACTATTTCAGAAACTCAGAGATGAGACATAAAATCTCAGAGACATACTCAGTCAGTTGCATTTCATCAGCCTCGATATTGGTGTTTGTCTGGTGTGCAACCCCAAACCTCTTCAATACTCTACATGTAATGTCAAAAATGATCACACATGTCACTAAGCACAAAAACGTGAAACATAGGGTCCAATTTCACGGGGAAACTTGTGCATTCACGGGTAAACTTGTGCATTCACGCTACTTCACGCCTATTTCACGCTATTTCACACTACCCCTTTTTTTCATGTGTTCAAGTGCTCCATGATTTTCGATGAGATCTTCATAAAGCCTCATCCTTTCCGGTGTGGGTATGACAATACATTCTTTCAGTCAAGTGAAATCTCAGATATTAGATCATAAAAGTTGTCATTTTCGACATAAGACATGTATTGATCCCAACATGTCTGAAACGACATCCACAAAATTGTGGTTATTCCACCACAGATCTACTTTGAGCCATTCACACTTGGTCAAACTTGTGCATAGCAGAACGTACAAGTTTACTTGGTTAAACTTGTGCATCGATAACGTCCAAGTTAAACTTAGCCGTTGAAGCCTAGGGTATATATATATATACATTGGGGTGGTTGAAAACGTTGAAAAGGGATCAATTTTTGACAGCCCATATCCCATGTATGCCATACAACTAATATATATATATATATGCATAGAGAGAGAGATCTACATTGGGGTGGTTGATCTGCATTGATATACATTGGGGTCGGGGTGGGCAAGTTTTGTCCAGTCTCATCTTCGTGTTTGGAACAGGTGGACGGCAATGGGGAAATCGACTTTGGAGAGTTCTGCAACTCAATGGCTCGGCGGATGAGCTCGCGGCTCGGCAGCGATGAGTTAGCAGCGCTGGTCGCAGGGTTGTTGGGAGAGTGGCATCGCTGATCACATGAGAAAGACAGATTGTAATATGTATACCAGGGCCCTCCAACAGGTCTCCTGTGGTAGCTCTTGCAGACATCAAGCCACCCATACGAAGATGTTCTACAATCCAAAGTGGGGGTGCTTCATTGTGAAGAGTCGAAGGGCTTCGAAGGACTTGTTTCTGACCGGCACCTTGGTACTCAACGCGGGAGGCGTTTTGTTTCGTTGTTTTTTTTTCCCATTTGCACACCTTGCGGATGAAGCACCTGTGTAGAATTAGGGTGTGTCCCAGTAGCTGTTACAGTCAGTAAAGGATTATCACTATTTGTTGAAACAGCCGTCAGCGGTCTTTATTAACCGTATTAACCATCATCATCCACTGTTAAAGGGAATGGGACATACTCAATGTAGAACTGTTTGAGTCAAACAGTCTTCCATGGGCGTCTATGCCGTCGTCTTCACTCGCGTCGGAGAGACGCCCATGTTGACTCCAGACACTCCATGCGGGCATAGGTATCAAAAAAAAAAGAGCATCAAAAAAATATTCCTTGATAGGCCTCTTCTGCTGTTCTCCTGGCCTTGTGGTCTGCGGGTCCTCTGGTAATGTGGTCCCTTGGTCCTTTGGTCCCTTGGTCCTCTGGTCCACTGGTCCTTTGGTCCCCTGGTCCCTTGGTCCTTTAGTCCACTGGTCCCCTAGTCCTCCGGTCTCCTGGTCCTGTGGTCCGCTGGTCCCCTGGTATCCTAGTCCTTCTGTCTCCTGGTCCGCTGGTCTTTTGCTCTCCTACGGCGCTCGTCTGTCGATCTCCTGGTCCCCTGCTTGCGCAAATAGAGGCTTGATTGCTTTCTACTAGAGGCAGCTCCGTGGGAAGAAAGTAGGTACTACTGCTACTGCTACCACTACTACTACTACTACTACTCCTCCTCCTCCTGCTGCTGCTGCTGCTGCTGCTCTGCTGCTGCTGCTGCTACTGCTACTGCTACTGCTACTGCTACGCTGGTGCTGCTGCTGCTGCTACTGCTACTGCTACTACTACTACTACCCCAACCATCCTCAGTGGGCTAGAATATGTTTTTTGATTACCTTTTTATTTTTTTATTTATCCCCGTTGAATATTTTTTGGATTCTATTTTTATTTTTTTGTTGATCCCTTACCCCTCCATGCGACTGGTATACATTGCCTACGTTGACCCGAAAGAAACCACCCCCAACGATCCCTTATAAATATCCCCGGTAGCATGGAGTGTAGGCGACTTACTGAACCCCTAAATCTCCCCAATGTAGACATACCAGGACCCTCCGTTTGGGGTGTCTATTTATAGCCCCAAACAGCCGTTATGTAAGGGGTGTCCAGTAACCACCCCCGACATGCCAGGCCCTGGTATGTTCCATAGCATGGAGTGTAGGCGGCCAACTTTTTGACCACCCCTGTTGGGGATTTCGGGGTCCTATGCAGATCCAGCAGCTTCAAAGAACCCAAGACGGCCCTGAGCTATCTCTGAGCAGGTATCTCTGAGATGGGAATGTGTTGTTCATTGTTGCT